TACAGAGGGAGCAGTGGGCCAAGAGTGGGTGGGGGAGGATATGCACCCCTTTTTCTTTTTCTCAGGGTAAACAGCCCGTGTAAGGCCTTGAGCCTTATTCTGCATGCCGAGAGCCTTGTTGTGCAAGTCGAGAGTGGAGCTGAGACTCCTACACAACTGTTTTCGTAAGCTTTTTTTTCTTTTTTTTTACCCATGCTTTTGGCGGCGGGGTGGGCAAGCATTCCTTGGGTCCTTAACAGTAGTCGTTTAACCGTTGGGCCACAAGTGGTGGAGTGGCAAAACTGGAAAATGCGACGAATGGGCGACGGTTTTTCCGCGCTAAAAAAAAACAAAAATAAAAATAAAAATAAAATTTCCTGATATTTTCCTTAATTTAGGCCAGCCAGGGGAGTCATGGTTTCTCATTTACACAGAGAGAGAGAGAGAGAGAGAGAGAGAGAGAGAGAGAGAGAGAGAGAGAGAGAAGACGTGGCGAAAAGAGCTGAAGCATCTAGAAGCACACTACAGAACAATTGCAGCGATAGTAAAATTTATCTTCATCGCTGGTCTTGCACTAGCCGAGTAAGCGTGCTCAACAATCAGCGAGAGAGAGCGAGAGGAAGAGAAAGAGAGAAAGAGAGAGAGAGAGAGAGAAAGAAAGTAAGAGAGAAAGACAATGACAGAGAGAAAATGAGATCACGCAGTGAATAAAATCGAAGGATGCTGCAGCACAGTGTTCAAACAACCACAGCAAGACGAAACTTCTCTTCACCGCTGGTCTCTGTACCAGCCCTAGTAACCAACGAATCTAATACCTACTGTGCCCTAAACTACAATACAGTACTCTACTTGCCGTGGTGAAAAGTTCTACACTAAGCTTTGGAAAGTCTGCCCCAGTACAGGAGGGCAACAACAAAAAGAGTGCCCTAGTAGAGGAGGGCAACAGGGTGGGAAGGAAGCAAGGCAACAGCGAAACGAGTGCCTCATGGTGGGAAGGGACAATCCTTTGAGGGCTTGAGCTGGCCCACACCAACAGAAAAGTACAACTGAGAAGAGGCCGCAAGAGACAGTCGTAGCTGGCCCACACCAACACAAACAGCATTATAGGACTATAACAAAGAAGAGGGCTCAAGCTGGCACGCACCAACACAAAAGTACAAGGGTAGCAAAAACACAGAAGCTCTCGGCACAGTCGTCTAGATTATAGCCCTATAACTGGGAGGAACTTTTGAGGAATGCAAACTGCAATTCAGAGCAACAGAGGACTGCAATTTGTCTTGGCTAACTTTTGCCTCCGCCAGCCTCCCTTGCGCGTGCCCCTAATGCAAGAACACCTTTCTTCGCGAGAGGGCTTGTAACCTCGTCACCGGCGATCTTCCGTTTCCTTGACCTCGTAGTTGTCCCACGTGAGGAGTCTTGGCTGTGTGCAGGTCCCGCTGCCTCTCGCTGTGCGAGCGCTTCTGTGCCTGGTCCAACTGTTGTTGACTCGCTCGCTACCCCTTGTGCGTTCGCTGCTCCCGCTGCTGCTGCTGCTACTGCTGCTGGTGGTATTGCTGCTGGTGGTATTGTTGCTGCTGCGGGTGGTTCTGTTGTTGTTGCTGCTGCGGGTGGTTCTGTTGCTGCTGCTGTTGCTGCTGCTGTTGGTGCTGCTGGTGCTGGTGCTGTTGCTGGTGGTGGTGCTGTTGCTGCTACTGCTGCTGGTGTTGCTGCTGGTGGTGTTGCTGCTGCTGCTGCTGGTGCTGCTGGTGCTGCTGCTAGTGGTGCTGGTGCTGGTGCTTCTGTTGGTGGTGCTGCTGCTGCGGGTGGTCCTGCTGCTGCTGGTTCGGCTGCTGTTGCTACTACTGCAGCAGTGGTCGGCGTTGTTATTGCAGTTGTGTCCTCTGCAGCAACTACACAATTGTAAGTCTTATCCTCCTCTGCAGCCTCCTCGCGCCTGCTTTCTCTTTCAATCGTAGGGCCAATATCGTTCAGAATGCGAGCGCGGATTCCCTTGATGTAGCGCGGGCACTTGTCAACCACCACGCAATTCCTGTTGCAGAAAACTCTGGCGATCGCACCTGTTACGGACCCGGAAAAACTGTCGATGATATAAGCGCCAGGAGAGATAATTTCTCGATCAACCACCCGTACAAGGCGACGGGCTTCTGGTAAGGGCACAACACCTCGAGGTTAATCGAATGAATATACTTCTTCATGACAGCATCCAACAGCCTGTAGTTGTGTCGGGGGTCCATGCTGGCAAAATTGTAATGAGCTGCCTCTCGAGAACCACTTTGGCTGTAGTAGCCGATGACACAAAACTCTGTCGCGCTCACAAGACGAGGCCCTCCTGTGTTCATGACATTCGGCTTGCACCACGTGACCACCTCCTCTCCTGCATTGCAAACCATCTTGAACGCTCGCCGAACCGAGGGCATCATGTCTAGAGAGCAGAATCCAGCAATTGTCCACAACGGTCCACTGCATACCTCCTTGATGTTCTCAAGGACCTGAACAATGTGCTCCTTAGGAAAAGGAACAGAATCGCCAGAGGACATAGGCAGATTAAACCCGTACGGGAAGTCGCAAATAATCAGAGAGAAAGACAACTTCTCTGTCAAATTCTTCAAGTCCATCATATCGCCTTCCAGGACTTTCACGTTGCCGCAGTGTTCTTTATATTTCACCTCCGTCCAGTCAAAGAAGTGAGTACCAACTTTTTCTGAGACTACGAGTTTAGACCTTGTTCTTCGACTTTCGGCCTCCCTTTTGTCATTCAGCTTCTTCCACGCCTTCGCTCGAGCAACGTGCTGTTGCAAGGCTCGAGGTACATCCGCCTATTGCTTCCAGTTACTGGCGAAGGGCCTGAAAACATCCTTGGTTGTGTGGAGTGGGTAAAGTTCTTTGCAGCTAGCCCAATCTGCTGACTTTGTTTCTGTTAAGAAATACCTAACCACTCGACCGAACCTCTTCGCCACCTCAAACTTCTTCCGCATACCATCAATCGAGAGTTGCTTTGCGGCCACATGTTCGAGGATGGGAATAACAGACTCGTCATCGAGAGAACCTATCTCCACCCAATGCGCCTATGGCATGTCACTTGGCTCAGCTACAATTTTCCCATGCTCCACCTGCGCTCTACGATTGAAGAAACGCAGTACCTGACGTTGGGCTTCAACAGAATTGAATTTCTTCAATTTTTTCTTCACTGCCGGCCGAGTTCCCTCTGGGCCACCCGCCTCGCTATCATTACTAGAAAATTTTGCCTTTTTCCCAGTAGGGACCTTCATTTTCTGGTTCAAACAATCCCCTTTTAACCACATGTCGAATATCTTCAGCTGAAGGGTCCACACTTCCTTGGACCGCATGCAAACCTGGAAATGTGGATCCGACCTCTGCAGAAGATCTTTGTCTGGGTTTGAAAATCCAATTTTCTGCAAGCATGCAGTCTTCGTAGCGGCATTCTTTTGGCAGCCCATGGATTCGAACACCTCTCGCCAGGATTTCAGTTTCTGGATGAAACTGAAGTTCTGGTGGAAGCCTGCAATGTGGTTGTGCTCGTGCACGATCTTACGAGCTTCCTGGACGGTGAGGCCGACGTAAATGAAACAATTCGCATTTTGGAAAGCAGAGACAGTCGGGTGAAGGTTCCTAAGGCATTCTCTGGCCTCCCTTGTGTGTCCACCACCGAGCACGAAAACTTTGTAGCCTCCAGAGAGCAGCTTGCCGAGATCCACATCTTCCTTCGTACGAGTCTGCGAAGGATCTATCAAGCCGACGTGAGCCAGAGTGTCTGCAAAAGGGTTCCTCTTCATAGAGTCCACGATCCGTCGGACCTGCCTTTCCTCGGGCTCGCGAACCTCCAGTGGTCTCTTGCCACTGTCATCAGCAGGAGGTCGAAGGAGGCAGGACGCTGGAAGGGTGAACGAGTTGGCGTAAAGCTTCTTGTCATTAAGCTCTTTTAACTCTTCCCACATTCGAGAGAGCTTCTCAGCCTCGTCGTTAGGAGTAAGCGCCTTCGCCACTGGCAACTTTTCTTCTGTTTGATCCGTCCCTTTCGGGGACTTCTTCACCGCCGTTTTCCTCTTTCCAGACTTTGGCTCCTCCGCTTTCTTCTTATCTTTGGCAACTGTTTTCCGCGCGAGCATTTTCTACTTCGTTTTCGCACCCGAGCCCGCATCTGCTGTGACAGTGGATCCAACACACGCTTGGGGCGAATGAAAAGATGACCCTTCCCGCTGCCTTGACCCTAAGGGAGCAGTCCCTTTGGAGACCCTCACTCGACCTTTCGCAGGTTGGGACGCAGACGGCCCTGCGGTGAGTGACTCTGCTCTCCTCGAAACACGGACCTCCTCACGAAGTGCCGGAAAGGTATACTCTCTGACAGTTTTACAAAATTCCTGCAAAGGAACACGTTGAGCGAAACAAGGAGTGAGAACGAGACAACGAAAGTAGTCTTCTAGCACTATAATGTGAAAAGTTGCGAAAGTAGTCTTATAGCACTATAATTTCAAAAGAGAGTACCGCACTGCGAAAACAGTTAAGAGCATCGGGTTGCGAACATAGTCTTGTTGCACTTTAATTGGAAAAGAGAGCACCAGACTGCAAAAGCAGTCTTATAGCACTATAATGTGAAAAGAGAGCACCGAACTGCGAAAGTAGTCTTTTAGCACTCTAATTTGAAAGAGAGCACCTTACAGCGACAACAGTTAAGAGCACCAGACTGCAAAAGTAGTCTTTTGACACTAAAATTAAAAAAGAGTGCTTTAGACTGCAAAATAACTCTTTTAGCATTTTAAGGAGGATTACAGCATTGTAATGCGAAAGAGACTGCAAAAGAACACTAAAAGTAGAATTAGAGCACTAAAAGTAGGATTGTAGCACTCTTTAGCACCGGACTGCAAAAAAACACTAAAAGTAGGATTATAGTAATATAATACGAAAGAGAATTACAGCACTGCAAAAGCAGGATTATAGCATTACAATGTGAATGAGAGTTATAACATTGTAATGTAAAAAGAGCACCGGACTACAAAAGCAAGATTAGAGCACTTTAGTGTCACCAGAGAATTGTAGCAGCGCACTCCGAGAAATGATTTCTAGCAGTGCACTTCAAGAACAGATTTTTAAGCAATAGCCTGGACAATTAGGATTAGAGCACTAAAATATCATAAGAGAATTGTAGCGGCGCACTCCGAGAACTGATTTGTAGCACTAGACTACAAGAGCAGGATTACAGCGCTTTACCGTTGTTCACTGAAAGAAGAGACCTTCCTCAAACAAACAGTCGTACCTTGAAGCCCTTCTGATTCGCCTTTTTGAGATGGGAATCTAACTTCTGCTCCCAAACAACCATGCTTGCACGACGCAGAACGAACTTGGTCAAAATCGACCCCACATTCACCCAAGCAAGTGCCAGATCCTCGTGGCTCTCTCGTGCAGAGGCGAAGTATATTAGTTCCCCGCAGTATTTATATCTCTCCTGGTCTGCATGTTTGGTCCAAAGTTCCACAGCCAATTGGAACAGCACAATGCTTCACAGGCAAGAGATTAATTCCTCGGACTGCTTTGCACTCCTCAAAAACTTCTCGATGTACACATTTTGGTTTGCCCTCTCTTGTTCAATAGTCCGCTCAAAGACAGCGTCGTCTTCTTCCTCGTCCTCTTCTTCCTCGTCTCCTTCTTTCTCATCCTCGTCACCCTGTTCACCCTTGTCTACTCTTTCCTCGCGCTCGCTACCAAAGTCACCCTCGTCACCCTCTTCATCCTCCTCACCATCCTATTCTCCTCCACTTCCTCTTCCTCCTCCGGACCAAGAGTGTCTTCTTCCGATTCAGTCACTTCAAACTGAGCCTGGACAGTAGGCGTTTTCTCAGCATCAGCATTGTAGTGCAAAGTGGGGATTTCAAACACACCCTCAAAATCAACAGGGGCGCCCTGGCTGCGCCATCCAGTACTTGTTGAGGTCCCTGAAATGTCCTTGATCCTCAACGAGTTTCCCTTCGACTTTGTCAGTTTTGATGCTCTCGGACCTGGAACACAGGAAATCAGAAGTCCCAACCCTAGACAAAAGAAACCCTATGCAGAAGTCAAGTTCATATGTTGATGAATTTATACTAGAAACAATGTCGCAGACGGGTAGCTTAGGAGTCAAGTGCAACAAGCTAACTCAATCTTTATGTTTCGTATCTGTTGATGTCCCAGAGAGAGAGAGAGAGAGAGAGAGAGAGAGAAAGAGAGAGAGAACGTCTGCTTTTCCTTTTAGAGCACGGAGACACAAAGAGGGAACGCTCGTACACAATATTTCAGTAGACAGATGTAAAGGATTAACAGCAAACTTAAACAAATGTTTAGGTGTTGTATGTCAGTCACGATGAATTTATAGGACTATATTTGTTTTGGTGTTGTCTGTCAGTTACGATGAATTCATAGGACTATAAACACTCTCTCTCTCTAGCTAATCGGGCCAGCTGACCTGTCGCTACCCTTCTTCCCGCGAATACAACGTGCGGTCATTATGTATTTGCAGTATCTTTCAGTCTAAATACAGCCAGGATGACCGTGCGCTGTATTCGGGGGAAAAGAAAGCAGGGTAGCGAATTGGCCCCAGCGCACCTGTTGCTACCCATCTTAACCCGAATACAACGTACAGGTCATTACAGCTGTATGTATTTAGGGAAACTTTGAGTCTAGATAAAACAATAATGACCTTTCTCTCCGGTTAAGGCGGGTAGCGAACTGGCCCTTCTGACTTAACCCCGCCTTCCCCCGCCTTCCCCCGCCTTTCGCCGACGGCAGTGACCACCTCCCAGCCCCCACAATTTTCAGGAGATATTTGCTGTCCCTGCCACATAGGATAGGAGGAATAATGATCCAAACAGCAAGGGACCAATCGGAGGGATCCAGAGTACTCGCACAACACAAAACAAAATCGATGCTGCAGGCTCTTCTTTCTGGAGGGATCCAGAGTACTCCCAAAACAAAACACGCAAAGATAATGAAAAAGAATGTTCGGTGCTCTCAGGCCTTTCTTTTTCTTAGTGTGAAAGAAGCGGCATATGCTAGGGCATTTCCTTATACTTTTTCTTTCTTTTGTGTTTTTTTCTTTTTCATTTTTTGTGGGCGAAGCTGCAACGGGTTACCTAGTGTGGATAGGATTCTCTCCTCTCAGCCTCCTGTCAACTTATTACGCGCTGCCACGTGGCGTGTGAAGAACAAAGATTGCTATTCTTCAGATTGGAGGGCAGAGAGGCAGCAAGCGAGGGAGAGGGGCAGAGAAACGGAGGGAGCGGGAGGAAGAGGGACGGAGAGGGCCGGAGAGGGAGGGAGAGGGACCGAAAGGGACGGAAAGGGAGGGAGAGGGAGGGAGAGGGAGGGAGGGGGAGAGAGAGGGAGGGAGAGAGAGAGAGAAAGGGAGGGAGGGAGAGGGAGAAGGCGGAGGGAGGAGGTAGGGAGAGGGAGAGGGGAGAGAGGGAGGAAGCAACAAGGAAGGGAGCACGACGGAGGGAGGAAGGTGGGGGGGGGACTGACAACAGCTTCACCAGAGAAGAAAGAGGGAGGGCAGGAGAGAGCGGGCAGAAAGTGAGAGGGGCAATGTGGCGGAAGGCGGGGTACAGTGGCGGACGGCGGGGGAAGGTTGAGGGGGCGGCGGAGGAACGAGTGTGTGTGTGTGTGTGTGTGTGTGTGTGTGTG